TTATAAGATAGGCCAATACAATCATATATATTATTGGTGTGACACAAAATGAATGATATATGTAAACTTGCAAATAATACAAATTAAGCAGCAAAACATGGTATTTTGATGTTTCTTTTCTTTATCACCCGATTTTATGGTAGTGTACGGGTATACCAACAACAACGTCGAGTTATGCAAACATTGGCTGGCCATTGATCAACGTCCTCCCGTTTAATGCTCTTTTTGCTCATCGGACAACTCGCCACTTCCTCTGGCATCGGTCGCTCATCGAAATCGCGATCGGTCAGCAGCGAGCACGCGTGCGCGCGTTAACACGCCTGTAAACACGCGTCGTCACGATCGGCTCGCGATCGCGCATGCGCACTCGCCCGGTCGAGGTGATAGCCCGACGTCCCCGGAGACGGGTCCGGCCATTGTATCTCCTCGCGCTCATTAAATATTAACGAGAGTCTCAATTTCTTCATTTCGTTGATGAGTCGCCGCGCGCCATCCGAGAACCCGCATATAGATTGAAAATTAACTTATATGAGCGCCGACAAAATATATACGGCGTACGCGGGACCCCGGCCCCGCTGCACTTATACGACTCCGAGGCCTACAATTTACACGAGAGGTCCCTATGTTGGTATAACCCCTAAGTAGTATACCTCCTCGTTCCGTTTCCACCGTCTCTCGATCTTCCTCCCCCGCTTCGTCCTCCTCTTCTTCCTTCCTCGAGTGTCGAACATCTTTCCTCCTATCTTCCTCCCCTGGTTCGTCCTCATCTTCGTCCTTCCACGAACGTCGATCCTCTTTCCTTCTACGGTTCTCCAAACTCTACTCCGTCTCTGCGACACTCCCTCGCCATTCCCGCCTCCTACTCACGCATGAACGTGAAATCCTTAAATACCTAATTTGATGCTAATTAGAACTCGCACTTGCTCCGCGACCGGATCTAACCGTGGCTCGCGTGTGGCGTAAACACAGACTGGAGGTGGAGGACGGGAACGACGTAACGCGGTTATAGATATTTCGAGGGAACATAGCCGTCAAAATCGCAAGAAAACCGACCAACCACGGGCACTTACCTCCGGCACGCGAAAGATGTTCAACGTAACGGCGGGCATAACGCGTCGCGGACGAATAAAGTTCGCGTTTCATGGGACCGCGATCGGCGCCGCTGTCGGCCGCTTCTTAACGTAGCCTCTGAAAGTAGCCAGGTCGTTTACTAAAGGCGTACTGCGAATGGGAACTGTATTCGACGACTAACGGTCTAGTATAGACCGTCAATTTTCTGGTATTCTTTAAAATTTTTAATTGTTCAATCCATAAAGAATTTTTTCGTGAGCTATTGCATTGTTTATTTTTAATACTGTCCTATTTGTAAAAAGTGTGACGCATAGTTGACAATATTCGTAGTTTATTTTTAACGAACGTAATCAAAATTACGCGTTGCATAGGTGATCTTGTACGGTCCTCTTTAAACAAAGTACGGTCCAAGTTGCCATTGTGTTGGGTGTTCGGCTGATCCGATATCGAAAAGTCAAGAAACATCTTCGGTAATATCGTATCGGTATCGTTATGGCACAAACTAGAATAATTGAGAAATACTGAATATTAATAAAACTGAAAACATTATGAATCTTAGAATAAAATGTTATTATCGAATTAACCAAAGAAGCGTAATTTTAATTCAACAAAGATAATATTAATTCACACTGTACAGGCATTCGTTGGAATTACAAGGCATCTTCTTTTGAATCTGTAACGTTATTATCCTGGTTAGGTTTATAATACCAGCATTTTAGCTGCACTCAGCCTCATTTGCGCTCGTGTAATTCTTGTTTCATGTGTTTTATATTCACGTATCTGAACTTCGTATATTTCCATACTGTAAACGATTAATAAAATAAATGAGCAAATGTAGTTATTCTGAAAATAGGTACACGATACGAAGGAGATTATAATATATTAAGAGAAATACTGGATTATACAAGAATGTGTCTGCTTGCAGGCATCCTCCGTATCTAAAATTATGCATTAATATATGTATGCATTTGATATCGTTATTTTATTGTGATTTATATAATCTTCATTTAATTCTTACAGCAATTTGTGAATATTTACATGGAAGATTGTTGACCATCCGGCGATGTATAAAGTATCAAAGTATGTAGAATATCATACATAAAAATTATTAAACATGTGATGACAATCGAAATGTAATTTCATTACGAGATGTGAAGTGATTCATGAAAAATAATGTTCAGTTACTGAATCAATGAAGTTTCAGAGTTCCATACATGACAGGAAACATAATTTTACATCTCTATTTCTAACAATTAAATATCTCGATCTACTTTTCATTTTCCCAAAGAGGATAACAATGAATAGAAAGGATAACGATGAATAACGAATGGGATTTTCAAAGTCCAGATGTACGTAACTATTTATTATACGATAATAGTCGCACTCGAATGCAGCACATTAATTTATCTATACAGTTTTACATAATTGGTTCACGCATTTTAAGACGCCGACGTACATTAAATCATCTTGCTATGCTACACATGCCTAACATGCGACTGCAGCCCCCTTTGCCAACTATGCAAACTATTTTCAACTCGGATTTCGTGTCGAAAGAATTTTCAAAGAAACGTTAACTAAAGGATGAACTTGCCGCGTAATTGACGAGATCTTGCTAATTGCACGCAAAGTTACCCGATTTAGAATCTTTGTCGCGACGCCCGTGCTCGACGTCTCGTCGTTCGCAATCGATGAATAGAATTTCTGACACGACGAGACGCGTATAAAAATTATAGGTTCTCGATCGATACAAGATAAATTTCTTCTTTCGATAGTTAGGAATCCTCGTTTCTATTATCTTTGCGTCGATGGTTCATCGGTTGTGAATTGAGCGCGACAAATGGCGACGTTCTCGTTTCTCGTTTATCCGTAAACATCACCTTGCTACACATCGATCTGCAGTTAAGAGACTTAGTATACCCAAGCTTTTCTCGCAAGTACACCACACGTGTCGCTTAAAGTCTGGCTAAAAATTCTGCGAGTACTCCACACTAATCGTCATTCTCACTAATGTACATACCGTGTCGTCAGTGGTCGAATGAGTGTGTTTCGCACCGATCGGATCCAAAGGTCGTGGTCTAGCCTAGATAATTATGAAATTAATTTAAATACCGATAAACTTTCAACGCTTGTAACAATGGAAATAAAATGAAGTAAATTGAATTTAAAATTATAGTTCATTTTTTAATTGGAGTGAATGGTAGACCTTCAACCTGCAGGTTTAAATAGTTCTTATGCGAAAGATGAAGTGAGTTGAACGTAATTCCAATCGAAATATAAAATATCTTACTATATCATGATTGCATCGAATGCATATGATTCGTGGTTGGCGCTGAGATTGCATCAAAATCAACTGACCACCGAAGGCCAGCGAAGAGCTTTCCTCGCTACCATGTAACATCCCCGCGTATCTCTTGCCTCCTGTCGGAAGCTTGACTTTAATTTACACGTTTAATTCCATCTATATCGCGTCTACGCTGTTCGAAAGTCCAAGATATTTTATTTAACCTCGGTAACTTCCACGTAGTCTCGTTTTGAACTCACCCCATCAGCTAACGCTTCAAAATATTTGATTTTGACTTATAATAATAAAAAGAAATTTTATTTTCAAGTGAAAACTTTAAAGCAGACGACGGACTTATTAATAATAATTTGAATAAACATTCAACTGTTGAAAATATTTCATTTTCATGCGATGAAAGTAAAGAATAATTTTACATAGAGGTAAAAGAAATTGGAATCGTTGAAAATAATTTTGGATAGATAATTGTAGATAGTGATTCTCGCAATCGATGAAGATTTATTGGCTTTGGAAACACGATTCCTTTGGATTCGCATGGCACCGTAGAAAAAACTCGTTATCTTAGCTACGTTTTTGGCACGAGGAGAGGAACGCCGTCTTGACATTGACACACGTCGCTTGTTCGTTCGCTATTCTAGCCGTAAATCGCCGTTATCGATATCAAAAAGTCTCTATTATTCGGTTTCGGCTAAAAAGGAAGAGAAGCAGTGCGCGAAGTCGGGGTCACGTGTCGAGAAGGGAAAATTGAGGTACCAAAACGAGGCCTCCGCTAATTTCGACCGTAATTACAACGCGCACAGTTATTTCTACTGCGATCGACTTGGAAACGATTGGTCGCCTAAAAATATGACAATTATATGAAGTTTATTTGTTCATCGCTTTCGATTAAGATACGAAATTCTATGCTTGGACGAAACACGTGGGTATCACATCGCGTCGATGAACATAATTTAACGCATATTTGTGCGCTAACGATATACGTAGTTTGTCGACTAATAGTACTACGTATTACGGACATAATTCAACGCATTTTTATATGCTAATGATATGCATACTTTGTTGGTTAAGAAATTGCTTTTTACGTATTGTGAATTTAATTCAATGCAATTTTTTCTACCAGTATATGCGTACTTTGTCGATCAATAAATTATTATGCTGATATGCGTTATGAGCATAGTTCAACGAATTTTTACGTTCCAATGATACGCATACTTTGCTTACTAACCAACCGCTGAAAGCATTCTTTCATAAGGCATTAAATCGAATTGCCTGAAGTGCTTAGAGTGATATAAACGTCCTTTTTTCTCTCAAAGTTTGAAGTCTTTACCTAGACGTTCCTCAGGATAATCTCTCGTTGTGTTTGTGCATTGCAATTACGTAAATATGACGTGAAAGTAATTCTGCCTATAAAATTCTTAATAATTCATGTGAAACTTGTAACAATTAAATTATCTTCTACACGTGATAGGGCCTAGATAAGGTAACATTTAAAAATGTTTCATTTTGACCTGATTTTCTAAGCTTTTTGGTGCGAGGGACACGAATCTGAAGTCGATTTTGAGGCAAAAAATTGTTATGTCTGAAAACATCTGAAAATACGATCGTAATTGTAATCGTAATCGTAAACACTGCCTTGTACTCTGTTCTATCGCGAAGCACAGCTCATTCCCTTTACAGTTACTACATTTATCGGAGACGATTCAAATGAAAATGGCACAAAAATGACCCACGACTAAAAGCTTCAGACAAAATGGCCCGAACGATTATCGAAAAATGAAACGATCGTGTGATACCGCGACATCTGAAGGCCCTTGGCAATATCGCCAGTCGAGGATTTTCTTCTTCGATAAATCGATAATGGTACCTCGTTCTCCCCACGCGTGCCCGGCTCGCGCTCTCGCTAGCGAGATAACCTATCGCCTAGTACCTTTGGTAATTCGGATGTGCATGGAACTATGATTATTATCACTGATTACTTAAACATAATCCGTCGATCGTCGCTGACCGACCTGCTCGATCCCTGACCCGAGCTTCCCGGTGAGATTTTTTCGACGATCAGGCAGACCATCGTTGCGATTCGCTAGTCTACCGTATCGCGGTGTTATACGATCGATTGAGCGATCATCGGGGATCGTTATTCGAAATAATTCTCGTGATCGATGAATGATCGTTTGTTCCTGTTAAGCGTGATTGACGTTTGGTACAGAGTAATGGTAATCGAGACGCGGTCATCCCGTTCGACGGTGATTGAAACGAACGCGACGACTGCGAAGATTAAACAAGATCGTACACAAATAGGAAGAAATGTTTCGCGTACGGATAGAATACGCAGACCTCAGCCAGCAGGGCGTCACGCGAACCTCAAACGTAAGAACACACCGAGTCCTGAGTCGCGCAAGTCAACACTCAGCGATTACTCACCGGGAAGGTCGTCAGCAATGCAGCGATTCCGTTAAAATCCTCGTACGCTGTTCAGGAGAGAAGCTCTGCCGAACTCGAATAAAAACACAGTCGTCCGTCTTGAGTCTCCTTTCATCCGTCGCCTCCCCGAATACGCGTGAAACGGAGTTCAACTCTCGAAAAGGAGTTCACCAGCGACGAAGCTCGGAAATAGAAAATAGGAGCGAAATAAAACGGAACGGATCCTTGGCGATCGTGTTCCCCCCCCTGAACGACAGCGCGTCGAGAGTCGGATCCCAAAAGAGGGACGCGCGGAGATCCTTCATCCAAGATGGCTGGAAAGGCTGCTGTAGCTGTCTTCCTCCATCTCAAGCCGTCGTCAGTAAAGATCGGAGAACGAGACCTGAGAGGAAACGCCGGAATGTAGGTGATGAAGAGCGTGCAGCTCCTCCATCGAGGTCGACGGCATGCTGTTGCTGTCCCCCAGGATGCTGGCCGACGGTCCCACGTTCGGTGAACCGCCCGTGCTCGAGGGCACCGGTGTTCCGGGACACCCCACGTTGCCAGCGGACGTGTTACCCTCCTGCCTCATCATGTTCCGTCGCCATTTCGCGCGGGCGTTTTGGAACCAGACCTGAGGTACCAGAATCGAGCCGTTCAGAGGACTGGTCGGAAAACTTTACGCGAAGATTGGGCGAACGATGTAGTCTTTGTTTATTAACCCATTTACTAGCAACGACGAGACGTCATTTTCTTTTTAAAACAACAAAGGGTCTAGCAGGATAAGGATTGGAAATCGGCCTCCCTCCTCAATTTCCATTACTATTATGTGCCGTGCAATGCTTTTTACTTAAAACATCATCCCACAAAGTTTCAGACCGTTACTCCCACGCTTAAATTTATTATTTCTTTTCTCGGTTACTATTTCAGATGTTTAAATTCTGCAAAAGCGAAAGTATTCTTATAAATTGCATCTTGTATATTTTTTTTCAGGGTACTTTTTTAATCATGAAGGATAGGAAATAAATAATTTATTTTTTTTTGCGGGTGGTATTGCAAATAATCCTGCGAGTGACACCTACCAAAAGATCAGGATTTATGCTCGGTTATTTAGCTGACACGTGTAAAAGTTTCAGAACGGTCGGAGTCTTGGAACATGGTTAAATAATTAAAAAGACACAAGAATCCCATGCGTTTCGTTTCGTGCAATGGACTGAAGTAGAATGAGATAATGGTCAGTCACGCTACGCGTATCGTTACAGCTATGCATACGACAGGACTGCATAATTTCACTACAACAGTCTAATAGCTTAAAAAAAAATGAATCCATCGAGGTTCAATATGCTGACCTTCGCGTGACATTTAGTTCGTGTCATATTGCCAATTTTTGTTTCTTTCTAATTATTTACAAATAAGTTACAATCCATCGAGCGACGCACAGCGCGTGGTTGTAAACAATGTCTAGATGTAGATATTGTTTAAGAAATAATAAACAGAATATTTTTAAGGAAAATTGTATGATATCAATTACAAAATTGTTGAAACCGGTTGCCTCCCTGCCGTATGCATAGCTGTAACGATACGCGTAGTGTGTCCGACCATTATTTCATTCTACTTCATCCCGTTGCACGGAGCGTAACGCATCGGATTTTTCTTCCTTTTTAATTATTTAACCATGTTCCAGGACTCCGATCGTTCTGAAACTTTTACACGTGTCAGCTAAATAACCGATCATTATTCCTGATTTTTTTGGTAGGTGTCACTCGCAGGGTTGTTTGCAATTACCATCCGAAAAAAAAATAAATTATTTATTTTCTATCCTTCATAATTAAAAAAATACCCTGAAAAAAAATATACAAGATGCAGTTTATAAAACACGAGTGTTTTTAAAGTATTTCCTATTAGGGTATCTGATCAGAAACTTTTTGCCAGGTGTTGTATACATAGAGTTGTTGTTTTACCAAGACAATGCCGCGAATAAATTTTATATAGAGTTTCATTCAACAGCACATCGTAACAGACCTGTGTTCACTGTAAATACACGGGTCGTAAACGAAGTAACAATCTCACTGTTAATTATTCGTCGGTCAGTACCGTAGACGTTCCGAAACGTCACGTCAGGTTCGAGACTGGTGGAGCGAAAGAAATCGAAAATAAAATTTATGTCCCACCTGAAGCACCCTCTTCGAAAGTCCCGTCTTTTGCGCCAGTTGCTTGAGATCCTTCGCATCGGGGTTCTGATTTATAGCAAAATAATTCTTCATCGTTCGCAACTGATGATGCTTGAAGCTCGTTCTCATGCGCTTCGTTCGTTGGCTCTGGTGCACGGGACCCGGTGACCCGACAGACGCGTCATACGCTGCCAATGATTCCATGGATGAAGACAGCTCCGTAGGATGGAGTAGTTCTGCAACAAAATGGCCTTTACCGAATACTTCTATTCCGTTCAACGATTCGTACTACTTGAATGCGTTGAAATTAGTCGAGATTAGCATCTTATTTCGCGTGATTCGCGACGTTACGTGAATTTACTCGCGCGCGTTTAAATCCACGTAAGATATCGAAAGGTAGTTGGGATCAATCGGATCGATGCGCGCTCGCCGGTTGCTACTTGGAAGAAAATTAACGGACGGATATCACGATACCTTCCGACGTATCGCGTCGAGTATATTCACTCCTACGCGCTGAGTGATTACTATCGATCAGGGACTGGGCCAGATCTCGTACAACAGGTGATAGAACGCTGTACGTTTCGAACGCAACTCATTCGATATGATTGCGTAACGAATGAAGATAACGAGGGATGTCGACTATCATTTATGGACGCGTTTAATTGATGGAGGCGTCGGGGGCAGGGCGAGGACGGGAAGAGAAAGGGAACGAATCGGAGTGCGGAAGATTAATCTTTCGGCAACATCTTCGACAGGACCTCGGCAGGGTTTTGTTGAAAGAGGTTAAAAGAGCGAGAGAGGACGCGCGCGTGCGCGTGTATGGAGCCCATACGGCGCGGGCTTTCGCGTACCTATTACAAAGATTTCTTAATCTGATCGGCCTGGAGGACGCGCGAAAGGAGCCCGGTCGTGTCTGTAAAAAGACGAGCCAGCAGACAGAAAAAAAAAGGCAGGCGTCGATCGTACGATACACGGAAGGCTCGATGGTAAATGAGAGGATTCCTCTTCGATCGTTGCTGAATGCTTGTGATCCATCAATCGATACTAGACGACTATCTAGCCTTCGTATCGGACGATTTGTTCTTCTGTTTGGCAACAATCGGATGGGCAACGTTCTCTCGAGGGATAAGAGTGTCCTTCTTAAAAAGAATAGAAGCTATTGTACTTTTTTCTTGTAGTTATTCGGGAGGTTAATCGAAATCCGCTTTAATTACGTTATGTTCAACTCTGCTTTATTTGTTACATGGGTTATTCCATGCCAACTCGGACACTTTTTGAGGTGACATCTCAGATTTTTATGAAATTTGGATATGTTATAGTCTTTCGTGATATTTAAACGTATCTCAAAGGATTTTGAAAACTTTTGAAAATTGTCGATTTTACAGCTGTTCAACGTTTTGTGCTACCTTTCTTCAAAAAAATATAGCTATTAAACTAGGCAACGGATGAAAATGACCTTTTACGTGCTTATAGCGAAGACATGGAAGTATCAAATAAAAATTATTTCAGAACAAAAAAAAAGTTTTTTGAAATTGAACGTGGCAAATTGAAATTGGCTGAATGAAAATTGATGAATGACCCACATTTATGTTCGACTACCGTGGAAGGTATAAAGTTTATTTTTAGTCGACGTGGATATCTATTAAATGTATGTTGTACGAGAGCAGAGAAACCAAATTATTATCTATTTATATGTAGTAGAAAGATTGATCTTCTCTCTTCAACCCTTTTCACATACATTCACATGGCTAACCTATCCAAAGGTAATCGACTATAAGCTAGATTACCCGAATAGTAATCTAAATAGTAATCTACCATAAAAGAAAGATAGCTGTATGTCTATATAATTTGAATAACTTCCATCCCTTCTGCTTCCATGTCTCAAACGTCCGACAACCTCGGCAAACAAATACGCAAATAGAAAAACACCCAAGGAATTCAACGTTGAATCCTCCGTCATTCCTGATCTCCCCTGTCAACGGTATTAAAAGCTTCGACACCTGTCATACTACTTTTCCCGACGTTCCATTCGTCTCTTTCGAGTTAAAAGCGACCCGATTCGCCGAGACTACCCGTTCCAGCCTACCGAAAACGACCAACACGGCAAAAAAGCCCATTGTCGCCTCCCGATCGACATCGACAGCGCTTCGAACCAGCCGCAAACGGACCGATCGCTCGGTTCCCCGTTCCCCGCTGTACGTCGCGTCGAAACGGGAATCGTCCAACGTGAATTTCCGCGCACGTAATCGCTCCGAGCAAACTCTCTCGGCCGGAATAAGGGCCGAGGCGCATCGAGTTCATCGTGACGCAGCTCGGTGCAGCATTTTGCCCGCCATTGAATCGGGAAAAGCAAAAACACGACGATATCGAGATGCGAGGAGGTTCGAGACGCGCCAGACGCAACAATTTTGCGAGTATTAGCTTGGCGATCAACGTATTAACCCTTTGCGTTCGACAGGTAGCTCTCAGTCACCACTAGGTTTCCTTTAGGTTTAATTTCTATAGAACTCGAAGTGTCAGTAAAATAATTGTCGTTGAGACAAAGGTGACCCAATTCTCAAATCTCAAATTAAGGATCTCATTTTCGAAGTTAATCTAAGCTTTGCATTCGTGACAATAGGATGCTAAGAAAGCATCTCGAGTTGCTGATAGATACCAGAAAAAAGGCCTCGAGTGCAAAGGGTTAAATAACTTGGAATTCACTTCGACAACGTGGCTCTGAAGTGAATAAATATTGCAAGTAAATCACTGAGAATTATTGATAGTCAAAGTGAAAAACAGCGTTTCCTGTAGCGAAAAATCATCGGTGGTGCCGATAGTACTATCGATACTTCTCCAGCAATGCTGCACGTCGGCTCTAAAGGAGAGGCATTGTGGACGACATCGGTGCAACCGTTCAGTGCCGTTGCAAGTTGCAGTTGTTGCGCGCCGCCGGAGCGAAGGAACGCATCCAATAAATAAGACGACGAGGGTAACCATTGAATTCAATCGGGAGAAAGAACGGGTTCCAGTCGACGTTCGCGGACAGCCGCTGGACCACGCCGTGAGCGGCCGGAGAGCGAGGGGGAAGTCCACCCAGAAGTAAATCCCCGAGCACGTATCCGCCATTACTGTTTATTGTCCCGAACTTCCATTCCCTGCGGACGACGGGCTGCTCCGGCTCGCGATCCAGAAAAGAGAAGAACCGCTTTCGCGGACGGCCACACCGCCGTTGGAATTCGTTCTGTTCTCCGGGGTGAACGACACGAATTTTTGTTTCCAATTCGATCGCTGGAAAACGAACGGATTCGCCGTGGCTCTTTGGGGAATCGAAGAAAGATTAGGTTCGTTACGAGCCATCGAGGTTCGCAACGAGGACGAGCTGTTGATTTCTTGCGTGCCTGTAGGTTTAAAGTACAGTCGAACCTCGATTATCAAAATTAATCGGGAACATGGGTGTTCTGATAAGAGAATTTTTGGGATAGTAAAATATTCCTTGTATTATACTTTCTTGGTGTTGATTTTCATGTATGAATTTCGGAAAAGGGAACAGTAAATATTGGTAATAAAAATCACAAATAGTGGAAGTAAATGTAGCTCTTAAGCCCCAAAAGAAGTAGCCCGTTTTGTGTATATTCTGTGAACAACCCAAATACTGCATTGTCTAACGTTTCATTATTTCATGGATTTTGTAGTTTTCCGATTAGTAGAAGCCAGTTACGAATAGATCCCGATAGCATATTTCCGGTTTTTAGTGACCATAATTGTTCACTTCTCAATACCGTATTATTTTGCTAAAGTAGTCGCACTATCACCATTCGTAAGTTTTTTAACACGTTGACTGCCCGACCAAAATCCGCGAAAATTTCTATGAAGTTAAAATTTTCTCTCAAGATTGTTGAAGATTAGGTAATTTCATATTAGTGGTAGCATTTAATTTTTTAACCTCTCTAAACTCACAAATTCTATCCAGATTTATGTTGATTATCTCGCCTCACTTTTGGAATTAATTTTTTTAAATTCTATAATAAAAAGGTCCTGTCATCAATTTCCGGGTGACGTGGGGACCAACATGTTAATTACTTCGTATTTCGTTCTCGGTGTCAGCACCACGCTTCTTGTGTATCGATCTTCGATAGATTTAACAGCGATAATTCCCTTTGTGCGAATACCAGAATTTTTCCAATTTCATTTTTCGTTCAAAAAACCCCTTTGAACGTACATTTTATTCGCTCGTATTTCTTCATGGGGTATTGTTACTATCTCAGGTCAAGAAACACCGTCAAATTTATGCAAGGAGTAATTGGCATCGATCAGTCGAGTATGGTAACGGTGAATTTATGTTTATTCATAGACGAATTTGTTCGTTGAGCAGATTTGGTTGTCAAGAATTGTGAAATATGAGAAACGGTTTGAGGTGTAATTGAAACCAGTTAGATTGAAACAGAGACCGCTATGGTTGGCTAAGCTGGTTTGTATAGAAGTCTTATTACGGTTGAAATTATTTTAAGCACTTCATTCATTCGATCTATAGTAGCAAAAACAATGTTGACTATGCTCTCGACTCTTATATTTAATCGGGCGACAGTTTCTTAATCAACGATCGTCTTCGATATTTTACGTGAGGTCATCTTTCGTGGTGCGTGACGCATACAGGTAAATCAGAACTGTAAACGCGGCAGTTCACATCGATTATTATTCTGAATTTGTGCGAACAAATCGTTTAGTCTCTGCACGTTCCTTAGAATTCTTTACTTCTTTTAAACTTGCTGCGCGTTGTTTTGTTGTCCGCCATTTCCAATAATTCTTCCTTTCCCACCCCTTATTTGTCTCCTTCTTCTCCGTCTCTTCCACTTGTGCTCGCTAGTATTTTGTCATTTGATTTATCGATAAGCTAGGTTCACGAGTCCAGAATCACGTTACGAAGCTGTAATTGGCGAACCTAGCTCGTTTACCGGGGATTAGTCATTTGTTTCGTTTTCTCTAATTTTCTACCATTTTGTGATAAAGCCACGAAGTGAAAAATGATCACAGAAACATTTTTTAAAACAGCTAACACAGCGGACCATAGAATATTCCATACTTTTCACATTGAAGATAGTTCTAGATGTCGTTTAATATTTGCAAAATTAAAAACCAAGATTTCGAAGTCTCACGAACAAATATTAATTTATTTAAAATGTTCCTGCAATACATTTGATTTATACGAAAGGTTCCAGAATGAATTATCTTGAAAATCCATAGTCCTGTCGAGCAAAACAATACATACAGT